GAGAGAGGAGCCCAAAGTTTACGGCAGCTAATTCGCATCGGCCATGGAGCAGGGAGACTTTCAATATTTAACGTTTGCCAACAAGAGCGTTAAAAACTGTAAGCAGAAAATACATTTTGCTACTCACGTGATGAGGATAGACTGGTTTTCTCGGTCTGGAAAGAAACGGGAAAGATGAGAGGAGCCACTCAGCTTGCAAGCCCATCCGCCCAGCCCAGCATTCTGTCTCCAGTGGTGAGTGGCCAGCTCAGAGCTCTCCAGAAGCTTGGAGGCACAGTAAGAGGGTGATGTTCATCCCTGGTCATCAGAGGTAGAGTCCCCCTCACCAAGGAGGTGCCATTCCTAGATGCTGCAGGTAAATCCCAGGGACTTCCCCAGGACGCAGCTCTTTTCCAGCTTGAGATGCAAATCCCATTTTGGAAGAGCTCTCGGGGCCATATTCCAGGGACAAAACAGAGCTGGGCCAAAGACCAAGAGGGTGGGCGGGCCAAAATACCAAAACCACAGCAAGTTTCCCCTTAAAGTTCCAGCTGCTCGGAGAGCCATTCCAAGAATGGGGAGAACCCCATGCAAAAACTGGGGATCACCGTATCAGGGGAAAGGGGGGTGGGACATGAGCATGGGGCCCAGAGATGGAGGTCAAAATTTGGCCCACGGTTCTATATCCCTATTCTATGCATTTTCCCGGCCGTTTAATTTTTTTTTTTTGGTCATATATCCTGTATTGTCATGTTATGCACACTTTTGATCAGGCACTGCATCAGGAAAAGGAGAGAGTTTTTAGGCAGCTGCTTACGTAGAATGAGAACATGATGCCAAAAGCAGTTGGCTCTTTTTATCTTTAAAGCTGTGCCCTGAAACCACAAGTGTGCGACCCAGTCATGGCATGTGTGAATGGGCTATTACACACGTCGGGTGTACGTGCATGGCAGAAGGGATGGCGTGCCCCGTTTCGCAAGCTACCCCATGTGAAACACGAGTGTACAACAACCCTGAAGATTCATATCTAGCACAACCAGGAGGAACATGCTGTGAATTTTGCCTTGTTGTGTTGTGCACGTTAAAAAAAAAGCTTCCCCTTGTTAGAATCTGAATTTCACCATCCTATTTGCCCCTTTAGGACTTTTCCACCTTAGCCCAATTTCGTCCCTTGGCATGAATAGACCAGGCCAGAAATGACCATATGAAACGAATTCACATCAGTCATAAAGCTATTTGATGAGGCAGGAATTGCATCCAGTTTTCCATCACACACAGAAAAATTGTGTGTGTGTGTGTGAGAGAGAGATGGCCTGGTGAAGCTCCAGGCTGTAGACACTTGGGAAAGTCTCCAAAATAAAGGGGCATCCCCAGAAGAAAACCAAAATATGGAGGTGACCCCAGTAATTCCCCTTAAGATGCAATCTGATCCATATTTAGACAGAAGAAAGTGCACAACTCCCCGATGGTCCATCCAAAATTTGGAGCCCCGTACCTGTCAGCATGTACTGGTAGGCATTGTCCGAGATGGAGAAAATGTGGGGAGGAGCTTCACTCCGTTTCTTCCCCCGGTAGGCTGCAACCACCTCGGCGTTGTAGACCGGCAGCCATTTGTAAGGGTTGACCGTCACGCAGAAGAGTCCAGAGTATGTCTGGGGAAAATGGGCAGAGGAATCAAAAAGCAGAAATAAACCAGAAAACAAACCCTGGTTAGAAAAAGGCACTCGGTTGTCACAGAGTCCATCTCTCTGGGTCATCCGGAACAGAAAGAAGTTTTCCATCTGTGCACAGCAGGCTGGAAAATGATGGCAATCAAGAAAACAGACTATTTAAAATGCAGATTTCTTTTCTCAGATTCAGAAGGGGAAAAGTAAGGCTTGTCACCCCGTTAAAGGAAGGAGATTGCCTTGCTGACGCATTCTGCTGCGTCTAAGGCTGGGGAGGCGATCCTGCATTTTGACAACACCTTTGTGTCCAGAACAAAATGTTCTTAGTATTCGGGGTGCCCGCAAAGGCCCCTGGCTGCCAGGTGTGGACACCTGCGGCTGGATCCCTTGCTGATGTGCAGTCCAGAACCACCACCAGGTGTGCAGCTCAAACGAAGCCCTAAGAGAAGCATCTCTGCTTTTTGGAACGGGGAACAGAGCCCGGAAGCCACCAGAAATCCTGTGGGAAGCTGTGCGTGGCCAGCGGAAGAGGGCGCAGCCGACGGCGAATTCCAGGACTGAGGTTCCGCAGCCCTGATGGGCCAGGAAGGGAGAGCCTCTTCTGGCAAGAGGCGAGAGATGCTGCTGACGTGTCAATGCAGATCCTTCCTGGGGTGTAAAGCAAGCCAGGGGAGGGAGGAGAGCATTGGCAAAATGCTTGGGGAGGCCACACGTGTGGGAAAGGAGTGCCCTCACATGTCTCTTGCCAAGCTGGAAGGGTGTCTAGCATGAGGACCACTAGGCACCCAGAGGGTGGCAACTGGGGTAAGGGCCTTTTCTGTGTTGGCCCCCATCTTTGGAACAATGTCCCTGCTGCAGATCGCTTGGTGCTGAATTTACCTGGTGCTGAAAAGATGGTAAATTCAGCGCCAAGACAGTCTTCTTTCGGAGGCCGTCAAAGATCTCCTTGACCCTCCAGGGGCCAGATGGGTTTATTCAAGTGCCATTTTCCTTCCTTCTTGGCTGCGTCTTTCTATTTTATTGCATTTTATGGTATTTTAATTCTATTTTAATTAATTTTAAATGCTTTAAATGTTGGTTTATGTACTATATTTTATTGTTATATCACGTTGTGAACCACCCAGAAAGCTTTGGCTGCAGGTAGTATAGAAATGTAATTAATAATTATAATTATACTTATTGTTAATTAGATTTCTACACTGCCCCAAAGCCAAAGCAATTTGGAGGGGTTATAGCAATTCGTAAAAACAAAATAATAAAATACAATACCAGTATCAGAAAAATCACTTATTATTTATTAAATTTATATTCTACCTTTTTCTTTTTTAAAGAACACAAAGTGGTATACTTCACTCTCCTCCCTCTATCTTGTCCTCAGAACAACAACCCTGTGAGGTAGGCCATGCTGAGTCTGTGACTGGCCCAAAGTCCCCCAGCTGGCTCCATGGCTGCATGGGGACTCGAACCCGGATCACCGTAGTCGCAGCCCGACACTATTAACCATCTTGCCACACTTGCCCTCAACCACATCATAAAATCAAAGCAGCAGTTAAAAAAACAGCTAAAATATAGTAAAAATGGCCCTATAGGCAGACAAACACCCCAGAGGGAACGTCCTCTCAAGCCCCGCGCAGCCAAATTAAACCAGTGTAAAGGATTATTTTAGCCTGGCCCCAAAAATATGCCAAGGTTGGCTGCAGGGCACTCTTAGGTGGGCACCTGGATGGTGGTTAACCTGTCCAGGGAAGGTTTAGATCCCCACTCAACCATCCGGCTAACCTACCTCGCAGGGTTGTTGGGAGAATAACTCGGATGGGGAAGAGCGGCAGACACCACCGTGCGCCCTCTGGAGGAGAGGCGGTGCACAAGGGTGACGAACACTCGCAAAATACCGCTCTGCACGGGACGGAGGTCTTCTTTCGTGGCTCTCACGTCAGTGCAGAAGCCGGGCTGGACCAGAACCGTCGGGGCGGCGGAGGCCATGGAGAGACGCATGCTCAGCCCCCGGTTTTGGTGGGATTCTGTGAGGCTGCGCGTAGAAGGGCCAGGAGGGTCCCAGGGCGGACTTTTGCAACCCGCTCTCGAGATGTGTCGCACTACAGTCCCCACAATCCCCAGGCAGCAGGTGTGCTGGGGATGATGGGCACTGCAGTCCATCTGGAGCGTAGGGCCAGTCCCGCTAGAGGACGGGTCTGTCCCAGTTCCCCCCTTCCCCCTCCCCGCCGACTCACATAGATCATCCAAGCGGCGTAGCGCTCCTTCAGGTTGTAGAGGACGGCCGGTTCGTGGAGGAAGGTCAGCATCGCCATGTCCTCGATCTTGTCGAACTTGGGCGGGTTCTGTTGGTGCACATCACCCTCCTTCACTGTCACCGTCTGCAGGAGGGAAACAGGAGAGGCTGAGCGGGCAGATCCCCCCCAGAGTCCGGCAAGAAGCTCCCCGCAAAGCAGAGAAGCCCCACAGCCCCGTCTGGCGAGCCCCAGCTCCTCCGGTCTTCCATGGCCAGTTCCTGGGCTTTCCGTTCTTCTCCCTCTTCTCTGGTTCCGATCTGAACCCCGTTACCTGCCACAAGCAGGCATGAGCAGAGGCAGCGGAGCGGGGCCACCGACGGCCTCCAGGCCTCGATTTATGTCTTTGCTGAGCAGGATCCTTCCTCTCCTGCTTGGCCCGGTCTGGAAAGGCCATCTGTGCAACTGTGCGGGGCTCGTATCCCGGTGAGCCCCTCAGAAATGCGGGGCGAGGTCACCAGGGGCTCAGGCTCGGGAAGTCTGGCACAGGGCAGGTCCCCTCCCCAGGAGACGGGGTCCGCGGCAGGGCGGTGTCCGATCCCAGCCCACCAAGCAGCTGCTTTGAGCCCGACGCTTGCAGCACTGGGAGAAACTCACTGTCAAGCATCCTTGCGGATGCTAGTGAAACGCCCCGCTACCGCTTCCTTAATCGTGTGCCGCTTTCCTCTTGGATGCAGCCTCTCTCCCGCACACACGGGGGGGCGTTCATTGCCGCACTCGGCCCAGCCTGCCCCATTCTGCCCACACCTTCTCGGACCCTCGCCCCACACTTCGGCCCGGTGCACCGTCGCGGACCTTGCCGTTCTCCGTCTGCACGGTGACCATGCCGCCCTCCCGGCTCTGCACTTTCCCCTTGACGAACTCTTCCTTCTCGTCAGGCACGAAGCACTCGGTGCGGATGTCGAAGGGCCGCGTCTGAGCCTCCAGGCGCTCCTTGTCCGACTTGCGGAGGTAGGGGGCCGCGGCGCCGAACTCAGCCATCTGCGCATCACCCATGCTGAGGAGGGAGGGCAGACGGTGAGAGAGAGGAGCTTCCCGCGGTCGGGAACGGCCGCCCCTCGGCTCCCGCCTTGCGCTCGAACCCGTGCAAAATCCGGCCAGGTCCGGCAAAGGGACTCACGCAACTCTGCCTCTGCCGGCACCCACTTGATGAATTAAACCCAAATGATTTTTAAATTAAATAGATGTAAGCTGCCTTGAGCCCTTTGTAGGAAAAAGGCAGGATATAAATCGAAAAAATAAACAAACAAACAAACAAATAAATAATCCTTTATACCGCGGCCTTCGAAGATTTCATTTGGCCACATGGGGCTTGAGAGGACGACCCCCCTGGGGTGTTGGTCTGCTTATAGGGTCATCCTGTTCCTTTCATGCACTGTCGTAAACTACCCAAAGGGCTTTGGCTACTGGGCAGTATGGAAATGGAACCAATAGAATAAATAAATCTGAAGAAACATAGGAAGGGTGCATCCAACTTCCTGTTCCACAGCAGCCGAACCGTGGCCCATGGGGTCCCACAAGCAGGATAGGAGCCCAGTAGCGCCTCCTGCCCATGCTCCCCAGCAGCTGGAGCGCATGGGCACCCTACCTCTGGGGCTGGAGGTGGCAAGTTGCTATCCGGGCTAGTAGCCACAGATCGCTGCCTCCTCTAGGACTTTGCCCAATCCCCTTTTAAAACTGCCTGAATTAGTGGGACTGAAAGAGGGAATCTCGCGGCTGATCACTAGATACAGCTTGCACTGCCCAATGATAGGGCGGGTGCTGCTCAGTTATAGGGGAAGACCCCCAGGTGGGGAGGAGGCGTTGGAAGAAGATCGCCCTTACCTGTCAGAGCCTTTGAGGGACAATGCAGTCGAACCAGAGGCTGAAAGAGGAGAGAGAGAGAGAGAGAGAGATTTGGTGGAGACACTGAGTTAAACTGGAACACCGAAGATCTTGTAGGATTCAGGAATAAGTTTTTGACATCTGCCAGCTGGTGTGGAGTTTGGGTGTGGGTGTGGAGTTAAGGACAGAGCGATGCCCGAGGGAAAGAAGCTTGGAGAGAAGGGTTTGTCTGGACCTTCCTCCAGTTCGGGGGTCCCTACGAGAGAATCCAGAGGCTGGTCTCAGTGTCTCTGCTCTCCAAATGCCCACCCACTGCTTATTTCTCTCCAGCCACTGTCTCTTTCCCACTTTACCTCTTTGCTCACAGACTTGCACTTTGAAGACGCAACGTTACGTGTGTTCAGACAGAAGAAAGTCCTGGCTCTGAGTCTTCCCAGGCACCAGAGCTGCACAACCTTTTCCTGTCTAAACATGCACAGGATCTTGCCCTCAGCATCGTTCCCTGGAGCAGTGCAGCCTTCTTCCTGCGAGCCCTGGATACTTCTAGGGAATTCCAGTCCTGTACTCTCTTCTTCCGTTCCTCTTGCACTGGCTCCCCATTACTCTAATATTAACGTCATTGCAAGACCTTAATGCTTTCAGAGTTGCCTCCTCTAATTTCTTCTCTGTAAGCCCCAGATGTTCGATTCCAGTTCCCATCAGCCTCTACCAGCATAGTCGATGGTCAAGGCTGATGGAAGTGTCAAATCCTCGGCCTCCGGGCTTATCTTTACACATTCTGGGCTTTCTGACAGAGGTTTATTTTATATTTTCAACTCTCTCGTGTCTTTCTGGGAGAACCCTAAATAACTGACGCTTGTTTGGGCATCAGGAAAAATTTATATTCTTCAGTTGCCTGGTCTCCTGCTCTGTGTTAACTCATTCCCACCTCTTCCGTGTGGCAATCCAATTGAAGACTCCCTTTCACCCAGCAAAGCTTGTATCATCTGCCTCATTTTCATGGATGAATCATTTTGGAAAACTGCAGGTCCCCTGAGATACTTCAGATGAATAGTTCTCCCAAACCCCAAGAAAAGCCAGTTGGTCCAACACAAGATGCGGCCTTAAGGATTCTATTCTCACAACTAATCTGCCCACCTCTGGCTTTCTCCCTTTCTCTTTGAACATGCATCAGGAAATTGCCCGCAGAAGGGACTCTGCACTGCCCAGGAAGTGCATCCTGGCGAAGTTTGCACAGCTTCTGGAAAGGCCGTCATTCCTGCAGTGCAAACTTGTGTAACTCACTGAGAAGGGCATTAAAACGTGATCCTCACCCTCTCCCCAGATTCAGCTCAGAAGAAAGCTTCCCAGAGGCCTTAGACTCAAGAACCCTTGTGCTAATCGGGCTTTGTATGTACGCCTGCCCTTTTCTTCCTTGAAGGCTGGAAGCGTGTTTCTCTCTCCTCCCGGATCTACCAGCTTTCTCTCCTCTCCTCTCCTCCTTGCCCCATCACCAGAATTTCGCCCCGACACTTACAGTGGGAAGGTGACTCAGGCAGACGTCGGAGCAAGATCTGTGCCTTTGCCAATCCCCCTCCCTTTATATCCTTCCTTCCAAAATAGCCTCGTGCCCCACCCCATCTCCCCCCCCCCCAGCAGGCCCATCACAGCTGTGAGTGACACGATGACAAGGAAGCGAGGAAACGGCTCCGTGGAGGTCCAGCCTGACCATTAATGGCGCGCTTCTTCGGCCCTTCGCCGGTCGCCCTCCCGCCCCGCCATCCCTCGGTTCCCAGGGGAGAGGCGCATTCCAGAGCCGGAGAGGCGAGGGGATGTGGCACATCCATGGTGCCGGTGGGAGCAGATAAGCGCGGAGACGGCCGGCACGTCTTGTGTGTGACGGGAGCTTGAGCAGGGAGAGACCGGGACAGTTAAATCAGAAGAAGGCATTCCAAGCAGCGCAGACAGTTCCCTCTTCCTAGGCCTGGCTCGGGGCATGTCAGGCCTCCAGCTCAAGGGGGATGCATGACATGGGGAGGCCGGAGGCTAATCTGGGGGCACAGCGGGGTCAGAAGAAGAAAGAGGCCAGAGAGCCCACCGGTCGTGGCTAGAATGTGGATGATGAAGGGAGGAGATGGATAAAGTGATGTGCAGTGTGGAGGAAGCGGCCAGGAGAGGTTTTGCCTCCCTCTCTCAAACAACCAGGCCCCAGTGGGTTCCTCCCGTGAAGCTGAGTAGTAGGAAATTCGGGAGAGGTAAACGAAAGGGCTTCTTTCCACAGTGCGGAGTTAAACTGGAATGTGATGCAGCCAAATGTCATGGTGGCCCTGGGCTTTAAAGGGGGATTGGACACATTCATGGACAGTAAAGCTGCCCAAAGCTGCTAGTCCTCATGGTTTACGTGCCGCGTGACTCTGAGTGCCGGTTGCTGGGGAGCACGAGGGCACCCCTGTGCCACATGAGGGCTTCTCATCGGTAACAGGTTGGCCATGATGGGAACTGTATTCGGCGGTCTTCCACTTCCACAGGTCGTATGGTGCTGGGGTGAATTTGAACTTCGGACCGGTGCTCCAAGACAGCCTGAACAACCCTGCCTCAGTTTCACTCTTTCTGAGGTAGCTGAATAAGGGGACCCTGCACAAATTGGGCCACTGAACCCCAAAAGCACGAGAGACGGACGTGCAGGAAGGGGAGGAGGCAGAAAGAACAGGTTTTGGCTGAGAGCAGCTTTCTCCATCTGGGTGTTCTCCAAATGCGGTGGACTGCAAGTCCCATGCTGGTTGAGAATGATGGGAATTGTGGCCAACATGCCCGGAGGGCACCTGTTTGGAGAACGTTGGCACAGATCCAATGTTCTCCAAACAGGTGAAATCGGTCTAGCCTGTTTTTGGGGATGGTCAGATGCCGTTCATCCCATCATCCTTCTTTGGTGGAACTAGACCTTTTAAACACAATTTTTAACACCTTTTGCATTAATTCTGTGCTAGCATAAATGTGCTCTTGCACTAAAGCACTAATGCACATTTGTGCTTGTGTAGATTAGTGCAAAAGTGAACAACTCATCCAGAAAGCTGTAGAATCGATAGAAAGCAGAACTCTTTGAAGCTGTTCTGGATTTCTGCAATGTAGAGATAATGTAGAGCCCACAGGCACTTCCATGGTCTTCCTCCTCCCCTCCTTTTTATCATCACAACAGCCCTGTGAGGTAGGTCGGGCTGAGAGTCACCCAGTGAGTTTCATGGCCAAGCAAGGACTAGAATTCAGGCTCCTGAGCTGCAGTCCAGCATCACACTGGCTCTCTGTTCTTGTGGAGAACGGCCAGCGATTGTACCGAGCAGGCCTATGAAACTGGTCCTTCTGCTCAGACTCCCAGCCTTGCCTACCTCGCAGGGTTGTTGTTGTGGGGATAAAACAGATCCTGAACAAGAATAATACTGTGCATGAGCTGCTCGCCATCCACATTATTGCTATCTCCGATCGCAGGCTGGGAAGCAAAGCAAGGCTTCCTGCGGGCGATTCCCCCAGGGGACGGGACTCGGAGCTGAGCCCTTGCCCCCTGGAGTAACCAAGGAGGCTTCGTTGGACCAGGTGCTGAGTCTCTGTGTCCCCGATGAGGCCAGTGCCGTTCACCACTTTGGCAGCCAACGGCTCAGCAGGGCAGCGGGTGCTGTCCGCCAAAGCATGTGAGCGGCACTCGCTCCTTGATGTCGCGGGCCAGAAAGACAAGCTGGGTGAGTTCTCAAGTTCTGGAATCATACACAGTCTCTTCTGTCTTCTTTCCTGGCTTGGAGGAGTCTCTGTGTTAATCTCCTCAAAGCCACTTCCTTGAAGCGTCTTTCTCTCCTTCCAGCTGGTGCCTCCCCGATCCTTCACGCTCTTTCCAACAATCTCTCTTTGATTCCCTCGAGGAATCTCTCCTGACTGCAGAGCTGAGTCAGGGGAGGCCCTGGACAAACTGGGTTTGTGCGCCATGGGAAGGGCGGCCTGCTGGGTTGGATCCGTTTCATTTAGTGGTTTCCCCATGTCTCCTTTTCTCTTTCTCTTCTAGCCTAGCATGGTTTATGCAGAGAAGATGGAAAACGGAGGTTCTCGTGGGCAAAGCCAGTTCTGTTCCTGAGAACTTAGAATTGGTTTGCTTGAAACCTGCCCTTCTTTCTTCCCAAAATCTAATGTTGCCAAGCCATCCCTCGCTCGAT